ACCCAGAGTGTCCTGCAGGCACCCCTGTGGGTGCCTGTGTAGTCACATTGGGCACAATAACACTAGATAATGAGTGTCGCCTCTGTGTTCCTGCAGAGCCCTCAGAAGTCCCCTTAGATCCTTCTGCCTGATATCAAGCCACAACTCACTCCGCTTGTGACTTAAGGTGGAGCAGAACAAATCATCAACACCTGCTAAACACTTGAGGCCCTTCCATAAATATTCTCAAACTTAGCTACAGAACCTGTTCATGTTACTACCACAACCACCAAGGCAAACTGAAAACTCCATATGCTCTTGCAAAGATGCGTGCCAGGTGAGCAAACCTCGGTGGATCTGGGAAGTCTGCTTAAACGCCAGGGATGAGGCTCACCTGGTGGTGTGATGGGGCAGAGGCTGGCCGGGCCACCTGGCAGACAGGACCTCCAGCCAGAGGAGCCTGCTCCTAACCAGGGCAGTTCAGGAAACAGTATCCATTTGCTACAGACCAAGTGAAACTGTAGAATTCCTAAAGACATTAAAATCATGTTTTTTTTTCCTTTTCTGAAGTGGAACTGCCTTCTGGAAAGAGTTCCAGATCAATATTTACTGTATTTGTTTCAGTCACAATATGATCATGGCTGTTGTCACTCTGTCCAATTAGATGATCTTTCAGAAAAATTATGCCAGAGTCTATGCTTTTTTGCTCTACGGTAGTAGTACTGGCAACCAACCAATAAGGCAATAACATGCAGGACACAGGCCAAGACTTGAAATGCCCTTGTACAGTGGGACTTACCTTCTCTGCTGCTCTTGGGATCCCTAGCATGGCTGCCATGTGACAAAGCCTGGGACAGCCTGCTGGGCAATGCAGTCACCTCTGTCACTGCAGCCAACAGCTAGCTAACACCCTCTAGCAGGGCTGCCTCACCCATCGGCAGCTAACTGTGGACAAATGCTGAGCCCGGGTGAGCCCAGCAGAACAAGCATCCAGCTGAGCCCAGTGCCACTTGATGACCCTCAGAATCCTGAGCTAAATAGAGTTGTATTAAAACCTCTGTGTTTTGGGGTAATTTGTTATACAGCAAATGCTGACTGATACATGCTCCTTTATTATTTAATAGAATGGAAAAAAGAATAAACCATAGAACAGTTACTTTTTGTACAATGACACTTCTAGTCAGTCATTAGTTTTTCTTCGTTTACAAAACAAAAATAGAATAAAAAGCACCATAGCAATATTGTAAGAATGTTTCTGAGAAAATATCTTTTGTTTTCATAGAATTCCTAAAGGACCAAATTAACCACTTCTGGTGACCCCTTGAAATCCTCCACCGGTGTCCTAAACAGCATTGTAGGAATGACAGCAGCCACGATGTGTCTTTATTTCTGCTCCTCAGAGGCTGTGGGAGGTGCCATTTCTTGGTGTGGTGAGCTCCTTGGATGTCCACCAGAAAGTCTCACTAAGTGCCTAAGAAGCAGCTTACTTTTTAAACAACTTGCTGTTCCATCGATGTTATTGGGAAGTACCTTTTCAGGCCAAAATATAAATGCCAACATGCTCTATCTTACTATTATAATCAAAAGTCACTATAAAAATATGAATACAGAATAGGTTCTATTATAATAAATAAAGATTCCTGCTGCTGTATTATTAAAAGAATTGTTTCTGCTGTGCTACCACTGCTGTTGCTAGCACAGAGGAACAAGATGGGGTGGGAGAGCTCACCTCCCTGGAAGTCTGCACCACCTGTCAAAGCCATGAACCCACCAGGATAGACGAGTCTGTCTCCACCTCCGCTACCTCCTAACTTTAATTTAAGATGTTGTTCTGAGCAGATTTCAGACCTTTGTAGAATTCCAAAACCTGCATCTCCCTGCTGAGGTCATTATGCGAAAAGTTGTTGCAATGAAATGGATTCAATAATTGCCAAAAACATCGATTTGGACATACTAGGAATAAAAAAATTGCATTTAAATGTTGGTTGTGTTCATGTGCATGCAAGTCTCAAAGAAAGAGTAACAGAATTCTTTTGGGTACAGTCCATTGTACAGTCACAGGAGGGAAGTTAACTGAGGACCAAGAAGATGTGTTGATCACCTGGTCATCTCCCACTGACCCTGACATAGTGTAGATATTCAAGGAAAGTGTGGGATATAATGAGGGGGATAAAGCCCACACAGTGAGAAAGGAATGACAGAGACATCCAGAATCTCTTTTTCAATCTAGTTACTGTTCCAAGCCTTCTATTGCTGGGGCTTATTATATATTGGAGCTAATTTTCCAAAAACTCACAACAAAGCTGAAAATCCTCTGCTGGCCAGTTCGGCCACCTGGGGACTTGAGGACACCTCTGACTCCTTCCTTGCCACTCTTCTCTCCTCATCTCCAATCAATAGCAAATTTCACTTTTTAGGTATTTTGTCCCCCTTCTAATGTTGTCCTGATCTCATCTGACAGACCCCCAGTGGGGGTAGAGGGTGCACCGAGTGTGGTCTTAGCCCCTTGGCCCTCTCCTGCCTTCATCTCCCCTCCACCCTCGTCCCACCTGTGGCCAGAGCAGCTTCTGAAGACACAGGTCTGACCACAGCCCTCCCTCCTGAAACCCCTCCATGGTTCCCGTGGTCAAAGCCTGCTGCCCGCAGTTCCCAATTCTTCCATGTAACACCCGGCTCACTTTGGGTTGTCTTGTGAATTAAATTTGGGAGCATTCTGACTCTCAGATACTCTAACAAATCCATTCAGCATGTCTAGCAGCACAGCCCACACCATGCTGGACCTGAGAGGACGACAGGTTGGGCAGGGCCTGGGCTCTCCAGGTGCTAAGCCCACCCTCCTCTGGGCACCTTCCTGACTCTTTCACTGGGGTCCTTCCCATCTTGCAGGTGTCTGAGTTTGTGACCCTGCCTATGTCCTGTCTCCCTTAGGTGGCTCACGAGGTCCTCAGCGATGGGACCCCATTTCCCTCTCGGTCATGTCTCCCCGACCCCATCTACCACCGGGTGGGGGAGGGTCGTAGCATTTCTAACCGGTTATCATTCCCTGCAGAGTTCCCAGGTCGGCTGCCTCTGTGGCCCCCATGTCCTATTGGACTGGAGTTCTCCTGCCACCGCCCCACAAACCTCTTTATCCTCATCCTCAAGATGCAGTGGGGGTGGGGTTCCTGACTGCAGTGAATTTCTGACCCTCCACATGAGCTTGGAGCCTCGTTCCCTCTTTCGTATGCTTTCGGAACAAACTGGGCATTCAGTCCTCATAACTCCTGTGTGAGGCCAAAAATTCATTTTCATGCACCTTCCTCGCTAACTTTTACAGGTCACACAGCGTTTATACCTCTGCTTTCAGCAAAACCCTCAGATCCTGGACAACAGGAGACACTTAACAGAGGCTTCAGAACAGAAGCCAAAGCACCCTCCCACTTCCCCTAGCCCAGGCATAATTGTGCACCCCTCGCAGATGCATCCAGGTTGTGAGGGCCTCCTCGGACGTCTGGGTGTCACAGGTCGTGGGCCCTTTCCCTGCCAACAACTCCCCACCCTCAACCAGTCGGGCTCCATGGGCTCCACTGGCTGGTGCTGCTCCGACATCCGAGTTTACCTCTCCAATTCTGAATCTCTTCCCGACTAAAGCTGTTTCCCTGCAGCTGTGTCGGGTCCTCACTGGTATCTCCAGGCCTGACCCGCTGGTCTCCTTGGCCTGTCGTGCCTTATGGTTTCCCTGTGGGGTCTGATTCTGTTCCAAACCTCCTCCCTCTTGCCCCTCCAGAGCACACGCCGCCAAGAGGGCCTCAGCTGCTATGATGGCCCCACATCGCTGGAGAAAGTCGCGGAGCCCCAGTCAGACTAAATTCTCACGCAAACTAACAATGCTGCTTGAAAGTTTCTCCAGTAGTCTTCTAGAATCATCACTTCCTCCAAGTCAGGGCTCTGAATTGTCTCCAGTCTGCTCATGTCCCGAAGTCCCCCCACCATGGTAACCTCAGCCAACATGAACCCCCCGTTTCCTCCCCCACCCCTCTTCTCTCTCAGGCAAGCGCAAGCTGACTTCTGAAAGGCCAGCCCTCCAGGACCTCTGCTTGTGGCCTGTCTCCCCCCCAGGACCCTGGATCCTCTGCTCTGAACATCTCCCCTCCACCTACAAAAATGTTTTCCCGACGCAGCCAGAAACAAACACACCTTCCCTTTGACCACACGGCCTCCTGGAGGTCAGACCCGGAAGGGCTGGCCCAGCTCTTTCTGCCACTGCGTCCTGGGGGAGCACCTTCTACCCTCACTTGCAGTGGGATGACTCTGCGGGCGTGGGCGGCTATCTCCTCACTCACGCCCCTGAGCAGCGGCTCTCACCTCCGGCCAGGTGCTGCTCTGAAGGGACACAGTGCTGCACACTCGGCAACTGCCGTGCCCTGTCACACCACGTCCAATACACACATTTCTGGGAATGTAGTTCAAATGCCCTAACCTGCTCGCCAGTCCACTGAAGAAATGATTCATCTAGCAATTTAATTCCTCTTCCCCTTAGACTATCAATTTCTACTATTTCTTCCAGCACGGTTTAGCTCTACCAAGAAACCTATAACCTCTCAGTAGAAACTATGGAATGCAAAATCAAGGGGCCCACAAGTGACAGCAGAAATACTTCCCAAATTGCCCCCCCTCAACACACACATTTCAATCCTATGTGGCTCTGGGATCGGCGTCCCTCTCATCTTGCTCACGTTTGTCCACGGCCTCTCCCTCTCACAGGGTGATGGACAGCAGGGACCCCCAGCTGGCCCGCCAGTGTTGCCGCCTGCAGGCCTCTCCGACGGCCATCACCTCAGGTCATCTCTGACTAGGATCACTGCTGCCCGTCTAATCTTTCTCCACTGCTCAATCTTTCACAAATATTCAGCAGGGAAGGGCACCAAGAACGCCTTCAGTTTCTCTGCACACTAGTTTCATTCCCTAACTTTCGCGGGGCACTCATGAGTTATCCCCCCAGCCCCGGAATCCCCACCGCCCATTCCCAGAAGGCCACTGACCTCCAACTCCTGGAACTCCTCCTCTTCCTCCACGTCATAGGACAGGGTGTGGATTTTGATGTCATCGGCCGAGAGGTCAATGAACTTCCCATCCGGGTACTCCAGGCTGTCTTTGGTGGGGGACCGGTCCTCGATGAAAGTGGTCTCGCAGCAGTCGGCGGCCATGCCATCGCCCCAGGAGCGCAGCAGGCCCTCTGAGTACAGGAAGATGTTGGGCCGGGAGTGGGGCTGCACCGACTGCTGCAGGGTGTTGGGGTCCAGCAGCTGCTGCACCGGCTCGTTCCTGCTGCTGTCCAGGACAGCCGGCACTGCGCTGGCCACCACCCGGTGGCTCTGGTACTGGGGCGCTGGGTAAACGGACACCAGACCATCCCTGCTCTCAGCCATGAAGTTTCTGGTGTTAATTAAGCCGTTCCTCTTGCCAGCATCGCTGATTTTACTGTGCACCAGCACGCTCTTCTGTTCAATGATGCCATCCATGGTCCTCCTCCCAGGCTGGGCTCAGGCTGGCGGGCGGACTCGTAAGTCACACTGGCCTCATGGGGCCCATTTCTCCTGGAGGAGGAGGAAACAGAGATGAGACAAGAAAATCACACTTGGAAAAAAAGCTAATCACCCAGACCCGCACTGTTTCAGATCGTACTAGTCAAGCAAGATGCACAGCAGCTGGGGGAGTCAGGTGATGCATAGTCCTACCTATTCTGTGAATTTCAAAAAGGCTGTCGGGGTGGCCAGCCGGAGTAAGCCAGCAACTGGTTACCTGCATGTCATACAGTCCCTGCTTCCAAAGGAAGGAGCCTCTGCAGGAATTGGATCCATTGCAGTCCTAGAGGAACCTGATTGCCAGCAGCCACCCTGCAGCCCAGGGGTGAACTCAATCACATTAGCATCCAACTCACCCACAGGGAAATGAGACTGCATATCTGTGATCTAAGACTGACTCTTCCCAGGTACTGGGCTATTCATTCAAGCAGGAAATTATGTGATCAGAATAATCCCTAATTAGTGATGATCCCCTTGAGCTGTCAGGTCTCAAACGTGAATCCCACAGCAAGGCATCTGGAGACAGACACAGCTTAGGTCTGGCAGGGTGCTCTACAGCCTGCCCCCAGCACGCCACTGAGGACCACCTGGGCGCTTGTCAGAAATGCAGAATCTCGTATCCCACCTGCACCTACTGAATCAGAATCTGCACGTTAACAAGACCTCAGCTGACTGGTCTGACATTAAAGCTGGAGGGGCTGTGCTAGAGTGTGCAGGGCCAGCTGTGGCCTGCGGAGCAAGTGAGCTCTATTTTACAAGTGATTATTTACTACACTTTCTTAAGGTTCAAATAAACATATCAAACAGTTTGTATTCTTAAAGAATAACTTTTTGCTTATTGAAGTGAATTTTTCCAACTTTGAATATCATAAGTTATGATTATGAATGAAAGGAGTTGAAGTTAGTGGAATTTTATTTTTGTCATTGCAGCATGCTTCCACATCTCTTCCAACACAGACAGACCTGTCATATATATTGCCTTTAACTTCATAATTTCTAGGAGCTCATTTCCTTCCATGTTTGCTTGTACCCACTCCTATCTGGCAACAGCCCTTTCCCGAGCCTGAGTCCATCAGCTCAGAGACGAAACTGATCAGAGGAGAGAGATCGCCTCCAGTGACACTGCCTCTAGGATTATCCACCTGGCTTTGCCACCAACACACTCTGGAGTCTCAGCCCAGCACAGCCTTACTGTTCTTCCAATGCCCTTTGTAAAGGATACCTTCATGAGGTGTTTTTTTTTTTTTTTTTTTTTTTTGTATTTTTTCTGATATTCAGGACCAGTGAAGAAGAAAACCTCCCTTGACAAAACTCTTTCTGGGCTGCATCGACCATTGATTCCCAATGGCATCCTCTTGGTGGGGCCTTGGAGTCTGTGTTTTGAGTCCAGCAGAGGAAGCTGGTTGAAGTGCACCACTGGGCAGTCATGCCACACATGCTTCCTTATTGATGGGGGGGGAGGGGTGACAGCATGAAGAGGGGACTCCACAGCACTGCATTTTCATCCCCAGTTAATCCTCCCTCCCTTAGCCTCTTTCTGTGTCACTGCTCCAAGAACCCTCCTGGTGAGTGATATACATTCCTACCCATGAGTTTGGGTGAATATCCGGTGGACAAGAAAACTGCAGGAATGTGAAAGAAAAGACAGGAAGCTGGTATGCAACAGCTTCTGTAAAATTTTATATTGTATAAAAACATAGTTTTCTTTACTTGGATATTGTCGTGGCATAAAGAGCACTATAGTGAGTCAGGAGGCCAGGGATTTAGCCCTAGTTTTGCTACTAAATACGGGGTATCCCAAAAGTCACCATATGTAGGGAAAATGGTAAGAAATATAAAAATATTAAAAATGTATGTTAGAGTTGAAGAAATATGGCATGTACCCTCTAGTACATATTACCTTTGTCATCATACAGTATAATGCACAAGATTTTTATGTGCCACTAAGAAAGAAAAAATGTTGGCAATTAAACAGTGACATGACATTGATTATAAAGTGCA